TATGCACATTATCTGTGTTCAATGTCCGTATTTCAATGAAAGTGAATTTAATGGCTTTCTTGGCCCATTATTTGATTGGCCAGCCAAATGTTTTTTTTGTGTGTGTGTGTTTTTTAAAATGCAAAATAACAATTGTCATGTGACACTATCTTTATGCCCAGCTAACAGGGAACGTTCTCAGAATGTTCTGGTAAGGTTATTTCAAAGTTGTGAACAAATGTTCTTACAGTAACATTATTAATAGAATGTTTATTCAAAGTTTTCTGGTTTTTAATAATGTTTTCAAAATGTTATTAATACATCGTTCATGGAGTTTTTTTCTGAAATGCTTTAGTTTGACTTTAACATTTACACATGACTAGTTTCCGAACATTCAGAAAAGTAACATTCACATGTTTGCAAAATAATAAAATGGAACGCTCACTTAACGATTTTTCTAATGTTGAAAATAACCAAGGAAAAAAAAAAAAACATTTTAAAGCATTTATAAAATTGGAAGTTTTGAACCTTCAGAGAACATTTTGAAATTACAATTTCATACCATAATGGGGAAAGTTAGAAAAACGTTCTTGGAACATATTTTTGTTAGCTAGGTAATTCTGTTTCACTTGACCAAATACACAAAATAATGTTCTTTTTAGCAGCATCATATGACCCCTTTAAGCGTTTCAAAAACATTCATTTTAGTCGGATGTTTTCTAACATATTTAACTTTATTACTTGTTTGTTTCAGAACATTCAGAAAGCATTCAAAAGTTATGTTCACATAATGCTTGCAAAATTATAAAATGGAACGTTTCTGTGATGATTTCTCTATTGTCAATTACCAAGAAAAAACGTTTCTAAAACCTGTAAATTGGATGTTTTGAACATTCAGAGAACATTTAGAAATAACAATTTACACCGTATAATGGCAATGTCAGAAAAACGTTCTTGGAACATAATTTTGTTAGCTGGGTAATGTCTTTTGTTTCACTTACTGTTTTTAAAAACAGGCAGTAAACACTACATATACTGCAGTATGCAGTAAGCCAGTATTCCATAGTGAACCTAGCCTTGTTTTTTTTGCCTTATCTATAAGTGATAGTCTCCCTGCTGGTTCTTGCTCCACAGTTTCCATCTGTTCTTGCTCTATCTCTGTCCCTCACTTTGTAAAAGCCATTTTCATTTAGAGAAAAGCTGTAAAAGTTGAGTTCTGAATCTGCCACTGAACGCACACGCTCTTCATGCACTGAAACGCGACAGGCAGGTGGAACTGGAGAGACCAATAAGCCTCATCTGTTAGAGCCAGTCACGGTTTACATTGGCCAGGGTCCAGAAGTCCTGCGAGGGCGAGGAATTGGCAGAGCTTTAGGTTGAACATGTCTGCTGATCCAAACAGTTGGGGAGAGCGAATGTGGAAGTCCAAGAAGCCACTGGGTCACGGGTGTGTATCCACTTTATTTGTAACGTGAGACTGGGCGCGGAGTTCATAACTTGAATGAGCTATTTTACCTGTACAAAAACAGTCTAATGCCGCTTGACATTGCAAACTGGTATTTGTTAACTTATTTGATTTCATTATCATAAACGCACTGGTTTGTAGCGGAAAGAGTTACACCGTTTATGGCAATTCTTAGTTATTCTTCTAGTTATTTACCTACTGTGGCTAATGAAGCAGTGGCTAAAAGCATTTGCGTTTCAAAATAAGTGGATACATGCTATGATTTTTGTTTGCTTTAGGTGTGTAGGTGTTTAAAGTAAACATGAAATGCTAATATGGTGCATGTGAAATAGGATATTTAGTGAGGGGAAAGGTGGGGTGTAAGACCAAAAACATACATTGAGAAGGTAAATATGGTCCATTTGGGTTCCATTAGATTTTTACTTATTTTTCATTAGTTCTTCCTCGATATGGATGGTTTTAACAGTCTTCTCCATGACATAAGGGCTAGAAAAATGAAGCAGAGCATCTTAAGATTAGAAATGGTCATTGTAGACCAATGTCCGATCCCTTGTTATCCAGTGTCCCACATTCCCAGGAGGACTGCAGGAGTTCCCACACTTCGCTGGGCAGATATCCACCCTAGACACCCAGACAAGAGGCATCTCAGTCTGCCCTGCGTAATCCGCACAGGAAGTTTACCTTTCCGGAGAGCATTACGCAGGCCGCTCTTCCAGACTTGGAGAAGTGACAGATTCGTTGGGAATGGGAACCAGGCTCACACTGACTGCTCTGCATTTGTCTTTATTAGAGAACTGAAGCATGTTTAACCAGGACCAAGTGCAGACTTTCCAAATGAAACCCTCAATCAACAAGACAGAGATTGATTCTGTTTCATATGCCATGCCATTTTGATTTAAAGGGCTTGTTTCATACTTTTTTCTCTCTTCTGAGGTCACATTATGTTGGTTAGGATAGAAAAAATGTGTAAGATTCATATTTATTCATAGTTTTTACTAATATCCTGCTTCCTCATTAGCATCGTTGACATATAAATAGGCAGTCATATATTAATGCTTTGAGTTTCATATGTCAGAAATCTTCTAGCTGGGGACTGGGGAAGATTTTCCCCCCCTCTTTTTATAATTGTACAATGAGTTATTTTATTGCAAAAGATCGAGCTATTTGATTCCTTATAATATGACCCCTTTAATTTATGATTTTTTTTGATTGTCTGCACCTTATCTAGAGACAGAAAATTGCATGCAGAGCTCCAGAGTCAGCAGTCACACTGACTTGCGTTCAACCTCGGGGGCCATTAAACTTCACCTTTTTCAGTAGCAGGGAGATTTGAGTAAGTGAACTCTGATGTCCTTACGCTTGAATGCAAAGGAGGACAAGGTATTTACCTATCTCAGCAAGCCAATGCGAGGCAGCGTCAGCATCTCTGCTGGGATAATCTCCTTCCAGGAAAAACAATGTGCATTCTAATTTTCAGCACTGCATTTAATGAGCCCCATGGTATTTTTGTCTGTTGTTTGGAGTCCTTAGCGAGTTTTTGCTAATTCAAATAGGAATGCTGTTGTAGTGTTCTCATATGTTTGCTGAATATCAAATAAATATCCTCAGCCTACATGCATGTGTGTGTATGTGGTTGTGTGTGTCCTACAGGCAATAACAGTGGGATTTTGAAGTGTGTGATGTATGGGTAAAATTTAAATCCAGAGAGATTTATTTTAGATGTCTGCTAATATTAATGCATCATTCATGGAGATGATACCATCAGTCCTCTGTGAAATTAAATGTGGCCACATCACAACTCCTGAATTTACAAAAGCAACAGAGAGCAGTATGATTATTTTACAACCTATAACAATGTAAAATATACATTTAAAATTAACTTGCTACATGTAAGTGTGCATATGAGAAATGAAGTGAAAGAGACTGCTGTTTTTTGTGTGTTTTTATTTTACTATATATATATATATATATATATATATATATATATATATATATTCATATATATTCATTTTTTTCAATTTTGGTTTTAATACTAATAAATATAAAATGATCAAATATATAAAATATGTATGTAAAAATTTTAATTGTTATTTTAGATATTTTATTTTATTCTTTTATATTTATTTTTTCATGTGCAGTATATTCTTCTTCCACAATATCATTGCTGACACGTAAATTGGTAGTCATGTTAATGTTTAATTCTTTTGCTGAGTAGGACTTTTTATATGCATGCTGTTCATTGTATTTTACATCCTCGTATTCCCTGCATAGTAACCAGATCTTGACTACTATTGATCGGAGATGTAAAACAGCCTCCATTAACTAGGCAAACAGTGAAGTCCATCTGTTGTTTAAAGGGGTCATATGATGTTGCTAAAAAGAACAGTATTTTGTGTATTTGGTGTAATGAAATGTGTTTATGCGGTTTAAGGTTCAAAAAACACATTATTTTCCACATACTGTACATTATTGTTTCTCCTCTATGCCCCGCGTAGGTATGTGGGGGCGTGTTCGAACGAGCCGTTTTAGGTAGGTGTGGCTGACTTAATTTTATACAGTAGTTCTCTTTGGATTTGAGACTTTAGTCTTTGCAACTTTACAGATCTTCTTTATGCACCAAGAGCTTGTAACACTCCAAAGAGAAAGGAAAAATTGAAATCGCATCATATGACCCCTTTAAATAGATCAAACCCCCTCTGAAAAAAAATATGCCCATTACATTGTTTTCAGTAAGTGATTATAATTTTGTTCAGCATGCTTCTCAAAGCAGATTTCAGTGTGTAGAGAAGAAAGCTAAATGCAGCTGCATGAGTCATTTAGGAGCACCTGTTTATTTGGAAATTCAGTTTGAATTCTCAAGTCAACATGAATCACAACAGGATGCCACTTTATGAAGTTTTCTGTCTCTTGGGACAATGATAATAGCGACCTCTATGGATTAAAACTGATAACTTTTATGCAGTATGAGTCAACTCTCTCTCCCTCTCTATCGGGTCATACATAATTCATAATCATTAGGATTCGATACCAGTGCTGCTTTCCACAAATAACTACCAGCACATCTTTCCATCAGAGACTAGAATGGCTTCTATTGCGCTCCTCATTTGCAAGTCACTTTGAATAAAAGCATCTTCTAAATCAACACAAGTAAATTAAATATAATCACCTTTGTTGTTGTTGTTTTGAATAAAATAAAAGCATCTGCTGAAATGTGAGCAGAATAGAACTGAAGTCTCATCATGACCTGTTACTGTGGACGCAATCATAAGTGCAGTTTTCAGTGTATTGTTTATTTATTTTTTGGCCATGACCTTTTGCATACTCCCTAATGATTAATCATCTCATTTACAGCCAGAAGCATGTGCAGTGTTTAGTTGGATACTGTACATTGAGGTCTTGAACCGCACAGGGATCCGTTGAGCCAATCAGATTCAAGTAGGCGTGCCTTCGGATTCTTCCGACCAATCGTCGCGCAGTGGGCGCGGCTTCGCACCGGCGTTGTAAACAGTGTAAAGCAGGAGTCTGGAGGTGTGTATAAATATCAGTGTGTCGCCCGTGCTGTCTTATGAACTCATGCCGCGCATCAGCTGCTTGTAGTCCGCACTGTTTCCGTGGAGCTGACGGCAATCTGCTCACGCTACAGGTTGGTCTGCACTTCTGGACCTTTATCTTTGTGGATTTTGAAACTCATGAATGATGCCACTGTATACTTTCAAGTGCACTTGAGTGAGACAAGTGCGCTTTGATTTCTGCGATCTGTATCTCACTAGTGGCGGTGTGCGGCGTCAAGGTGCGTCTTTTCTCATTTCGTGCCATCCGTTACGCGCTCGTGTGTTTTATCCAGTGCCATTTTTGCATAATGTCAACAAAACCGGCGCGTTTTTGCAAGCAAGACCGGCCAGACATTGAACAGAGAAACCTATTCCAGTTATGTGAGTTTGTGGCAACATGTTTCGCCGGTGCAAGTTCAGACAAAAAGAGCATTAACAGCTCGCGATTGTGACGCGCATCATTTCACCTGAGCGCCCGAGCAACATCAGCACCTGATCGATTTGACAGGTTCATCTGATTCCGAAACTGACAGATTGCTTTCTTGCATTCTCATATAATAACGCTTAGATATGTAATGTGAAATGAGAATGTGGTACAGTAATGTGCAATAGTGTAATGGACTTCACTGAGTGTGATATATTGTGTAGTACAGTATGATGTATTGTGTAGAATCACTATAATATTGTGAAGGATAATATATTGTGCTATAGTGCAAAATAGTATAGTATGGTATAATACAGTATAATGTGGGATCATAGTGTGCTCTTTTGAGTTGTATACCTCAAATATAAGCATGCACCTTTACCTTTCCCACGACTCCTGGAAAGTAGGACCCTGTGAAGGATGACAGTTTCCACCCATTTCATCATCATCTTGGAAATCAAGGTATGTAGTGCTTTATTACCCTCTATTGTGCATGTGACAATATTAAAATGCATACTTACAGTGGAAATGGTGTAATTGTGCTCAGTATGTTGTGTAAACCAGAAAGAATTAGATCCACATTCCACCCATTCGATTGTGATGTGATGCTTTACGGTGTCAAAGACAAAAGATGATTTCCATACTGCAAATACTGTGAAAAAAAATCCTTGTTATGGCATCTCCGCCTTTGTGGTCACCAGACGACTGGCACGGGACCACAGCCAGAAGTTCATGTGTGGAATTCATTACATGCAGCAAGTGTACGCAGACTCTACTGTGTCCAAACAATGCAGACTGGCAGCAAGTTGTTTTCGTGCATCTGTGAAATTACAGCCCCTCGCATGTGGTGCCCAGCAAGTGGGCAGTTGTTTTATTTCATGCACCATTCATCAGCCACTAAATGGTGTGTGAAATTGTAGAGGGTAGATATTTCTCTCTCAAGATATGCTGTGCGAGAGGGTGGGAGTTTATTTATTCATTTAGACTACTTGTTAAACTACTTGTTGGAAGTGTTATTCCTTGGTGCATAATTCATGTAGTGTGTGCAATAGGAGTGCTATTGCTATTTTAGTATTTACTAATATTTTGAATTATATTTTATTTTTATATGTTTTTTTTTTTTTTTTTTTTTTTTTTTGCTGTTCTTGT